GCTTCCGGATGTCACCGAGTAACAACCTCTAGAGGATGGAAAACCTCAACGCTCACCAACTGAGGTCCATCACCCCCTCAGTTTTATGGGTGAAGTTCCTGGTAGAACCAAGGTGACACTGATCTCAGGCCAGCTGTCTTCCACGCCGCCTGTTCAAAGAGAGGCAAAGAGTGTGCAGAGACGACCTCAGTAGCCACTGCCAGTCTGTCCCAACTCCAGCCTGCACAAGCATCTATCGGGGCGCTGAGGGCAAGACTGGAAGGGGAGACCCAAAGGAGGAGGGGAGTCATTGACCCAAAGCAGTAAGGAAGAATGGCTGGAATACTGTCTGGGTGAGGAGGGAAGGGTGAGGAAAGGCAAGGTGTCTCCACCAAGGTGCAGGGCTTGGGGGCATGGATGCCACAGGAGAGCGGGGGGAGAGGCTCCAGGGCCAATCTGCCCCTGCGTGGTGGAAATGGCACAAGAGGGGTTTCAAGGCAACAGTTCACAGGGTGGGGTGAGAACCTCACAATGTCACCCAGCCTCGTTCCAAGCCATCCACTGACAGAACAGGGGAGCCGGCATGGTGGGCGAGAGTGAGGGATGCCAGGCAGCTGTAGACAGAACTAACATTCATGCCCACTCAGATGCCAGGAGGGACAATGAGGCAGAGATGGTGGATTCTGTACCTGAGGTTGGAATAGTGGTGACAGGAAGTGGGTCGGCCACTCTGCTTCCGAAAAGGGAAGGCTTGTGGCCTGAAAGGGGCTCCAGGACACTTGTGGGTACAGTGGGAGTGTTCCAAGTCCGGCCAGGTGGCAATGGGCACAGAGGTATCCAATATCCGGAAATCAAACATTGGGCATCATCTCACTCTATAAATTATACCTTACACCTCCTTCTGTTATAATTATTACTTTTTTGAACATAGTACCTCACTGTAGCCCAGTTAGGCCTCCCAGGTGTTTGGATTACAGGTCTGTACCACCATGCCTGTTCAATGTTTCTAAATGAAAAATTAAAAAAAAATAGAAATACATATATATAAACACTATACTTTGCCTACTATAATTCAAAGGAAGAGTTAAAATAAAGCAGGGGTGTTGCGCTAGCTTCCGAGATGAGCAGGGTAGGGAAGACTTTCCGACCCCAGTTCTACCTCAGCTCCTCTCACTGTGTCCTCCCGTCTTCAAAGACACAGTTCGTTTTGGGGAGGGAGCATCGGTTAGCATTAGTCAACTGCTCACTGAAGGGAAAATCTGTCCTAACACCAAAGCCCAGAGGGACAGCAGAGGACCGTGGCAGAATGCTAATATGTCCTCCCAAGTGGCATTTTCTCTGGATATTTCCTCCAGGAGTATTTTTTCTTTCAGTGCCGGGGATTAGAACCAGGCTTATACATGCTCAGCAAGTGCTGTCCCTGGAGCCACAGTCCTGCCTGCCAACAGATTCACGGCCACAAGACAGGGCTCGCCTAAGGTGCTGATCTGTGGTGGAGACAACTCCACCAGAGAGAATCTGGATAGTTGAAAGGACATACATGTATACACATTTTTTTCTGGGTCTAGTGGTGCAGGCCTGTAATTACAGCTAAGTAGGAAAGCTGAGACAGGAAGATTGTGAGTTCAAGGCCAGTCTGGGCTGCAGAATGAGTTCAAACTCGACCTGGGTAATTTAGAGAGACTCAGTCTCTGTAAAAGGAGAGCTGGGGAAGAGACACAGTGATGAACCCCGTGTGCCCCGTGTGTGTGAGGCCCTGGTTCAATCCCCAGTAGAAAACACACACGTGCACGCACACACATGCACACACACATACACACGCACGCACACACACATTCACACACATACATGCACACACATGTACGTGCGCACACACACATGCACATAT